GGCGGTTTCCCCAGCTGCCGGTTTTACTCGTAACATTTTCATGGAGCGGTCCGTTGAAAGAGAAGCTCGCTAAACGGGTAATTGTAGGCGTGGAATAGCAAAAGAACACGTGTTGGAACAGAAGAAAACACGTGGCCCTTGGCCTGGTTTCTAGGGCACGACGTCCTCCATGCGTCACTGTCCGCCGGGGCCGCCTCTGCCTGCAACAGCTTCTTGGACAATTTACTTAAAATTTGCAAAAATTTTTAGATCCTAGAAATTTTATGTCAAGAGGTAAAGGAGACAGCTAAGGAGACCTCTCTAAGGACTCTCACGCTGGTCACATCCAGAGAGTCCGTGGTCTAGAGTAGGAAGAAAGCTTCACAAATTCACAGCGGTGTTTATCAGTTACTACTGCAAAAGCAGATGGCGTTTACATCTTGTCTAAAGCTTTGTTCCTGCAAAGCCTTTGAGACTCGTGTAATTCTGCTGCAATTGCTCGACATCGATGAGGCTATTCACCACGCGTAAATTAAAAGTCCTGGTAAATCTTTGCAGGGTTTAAAAGACTCTGTGTTCTGATGAACTGTAGTAACGGTCTCTGGAGTCGAACACGTCAGGACATGCTGTTTGAAACAGGAGGAAGATTTCCTCCAGGCAACTCTGAATGGTGCAGAGGAAACATAATGAACCACTCAGAAGTTAACTAGGATGCTTCTCTGGCGAAAAGTGCTGAGGGGTTTGAAAACAACCACGAGTGCTCTGGAAAGCAGTTTTATGCCCCACCGAAAGAACGATGTACAGAAACAATTACAGGAGAGTAGGTCACTGTGGAAATTTTAGTTTTCTTCCTAAACTGGAAAACTTCTTCCCTGCATATTCCTGTTGCGTTCTCTGACTTTCTTGTCACCATCCAGTTGCTGTCATTTCCTGTTTACTTTTATGCCTTCTTCAGGGCTTTGTAATCTTCTGCATAGGGAATGCCTTTAAGGCTGTTCCTCGGCCTTTTCTCTGAGAGGATTTTGTTGCAAGCGTTTCAAAGCGCTATTTAAAATTTTGCTCCTGCAGATTGACTGCAGGTTTCCCTTATTGCTAGGCAGAGAATAGCTTTATTGTTTTGGGGTAATCTGTTTTGTATTTGTTTCTTCCTGCTGCAGTGAACGTTTCATGGAGCTGGTTAACATCTCCTTTGATGCTGCCTGTCCCAGACTTTGGCAGAGCCCTAGCAGAGAGTTCTGGCAAAAGCACGAGACCTGAATGCCAGCGGAGACAGCAGCGTCATCTTCACTGACCAGCACCCAGAGGATCATTCTGCTCTGAGCAGGTAGACGGTGTCTGCAATCTCTCTGCTGCCCTTAGAGCCAGGGTTTGAGGATGGAGATGCCATCATCCAGCAGGAGTGATTTAGGTTGCTGACAAGCTGACTTGTGAATCTTGATGGCCCGATTTAAGCTATGACTGTCACCACCTCTCTGGTGATTAGCGCCCTTGCAGCAGAGGCTGAAGACAGAGGCACACACCAGTGCTGCAGGCAACCCCCAGGGATGAAGGGGCACTGTGCAGTAATGCTGGGCTCTGAACCGGGTGGCATAGGGGCTGGCATACGTTCCCTTCTGCCTCTCCCATAGGTGGAGAGTGGAGGAGGCAGTAGTGCTGGAGCCCCAGGTAGCTGTTTACTCTGTGAATGTGAGGCAGAGTCCTTACAAAAGCTCCCAAGGCTCCAGAGATCCCATGATAGAAGCATTGGTCATGGCCTTGCCGCTCACACTGAGATTTGAGCACAGTGTGGTGAACCCACATTAAGGAAACAGGTCCAGGCACTAGCTGCAGCATGCCAGGGATCGATAGTCAGCATCGTCACGGCTGAATTGCTGTGGTTACCTGAGGTGCCCAAAGCTATGCGCTGGGGGTTGTAGTCCCAAAGCCGATTGCAATGCGGTTGCTGCCTGTGCTGCCCCAGCCAGAGCGCAGGCGTGACTTGGCTGTAGGGAGGCCTTATCACTGTGTTCCTCTGTGGGCTTGGGGGTGGGCATGGGGGAGGAGAAGGAAACGCGAGAGATTTGGGATTCGCACTTTCCGCCTCACTTCTGAGCTGTGCAGAAGCACATTGACTCTTCTCACTGTGCAGGACGTGGCTGCCCCTCATGTGAGTCCGAAATACTTGGAACGAACCCAGGAATCTGCCACTGGGCGCAGTAGCAGCACAAGAGGAGGCTTTAAGTGGTGTGGGTGCGTGGCCGGGAGTCTGAAATCTGTGTCAGGAGTCAAAGCTGTGGCAGATCTCAGCAGATCTTAGAGGGCTCCGTTTGCATGCAAGGCAGAGAGGCAGTAAGTTGGGACTGACGATCTTTTGACAAGGTAACTGATGCTCCACCGACCCCTGCAAACTGCTAGACAGGACATTTTCTGGCTCAGAAACAGTACTGGTTTGCCTCTCATCTGTCCGTGTTTTTCCTTCTCCCTGTTCTTCTCTGTCTTTCTCTTAGCTGGGTTTCTCAGCTATGTCGTACACAAACTGAACATTACAAATCCAGAAAACGTCCCTTTCCTTCACTAAATCACTAAAATCATGCGGGTTTACAGCTGGATAATTATGAATTCAGCAAGGAACTAGCAGTGTTTATATTGCTTTGTAAATAAAAGATAGTTGACGATGCATGAAAATAACAACTCTAGGGTTTTCAGAGCTTCTGCAAAGTTGACTTTTTTTTTTTTTTTAAGCTGAAGGGCTCTGCACCTTGGATTCTTTTTCAGGGAGTCTTTTATAAAAAAGTTTCCCTGTCTCATAAAATGATATTTTTTGCTGACCATACATCAAAATACTGCTCAAAACATCAATAATTAAAAGCTTTTCAGGGCTTTACTAGCTTTATTTCGTTTCTGGTAGCCAGTATATCCCTACTGCTGATAAACTAGAAAAACTGGAAATATTGTGCCAAATAATAACACAGTGGTCAGCCAGTCACTAATGGAGGATTGCTGGATTAGCTGTGGAGCATCTTGGTCCGCACTGTCATTTCGGCATTGTCAGTCAATAGTTTTTTCCATTTCATTTACAGAAGTCGCAGTGGAAGTGGCTGGGTAGTGTTCAGTGCCTCTCCAATATGGATGGGAACTGAAATGTGATCTACTGGATTAGTGGGGTTTGTGAGGAGGGGAGGAATATGAATCATAGGAAGGCTGCCACACTGGCAGGGCTAAACGCTGCTGACTGAATGCGGAATCAGGATCTCAACTGCACGTATTAAACTCTGTTTTGAAACCACATGACTAATACTGAGTTTGTGTCTGTGTCACTGTAGCATTTCTCAGAGAGATAATCAGTAAAGAATAACCTGTGAAGAGGCCATTATGGTTCTTGCTGCTGTGCATTTTCTGCTGAAGGTCCCGAGTGCTGTGTCCCTGCGGGCTCCCCTGAGAAGATCTCTCCAAGTTTCTAGCCCGGGCTATCCAGTTTGCACCTCCCAGAACTTTAAAAATTATGAAGCCATAAAACAACAGTATAGACCAGAAGTGCCAGAGTATTTCAACTTTGCAAGAGATGTGCTGGACAGATGGACTGAAATGGAAAAGGTAACAGTTATGTGGCTTCTGTAATGCTAACATACTTCATGCTGTGTATCAGTACCAAATCCAATAAGCAAGACACTGGAGTTATGTTCTGATTATAATCTGGTGGTCATCTTGTGCTGTTTGAGCCTGGAGTTCCCACATGCCACATGGCTGCCCTGTCCCTGTGTCAAATAGTTCCTTCCGTTAATCAGTAACGCCACTGAGACTGGGAGTATGAATAAATATGTGTATAGTGAGTGAATCCATGGACTGCACCACTCTGAATCTGGCACCAGCTCACCCATCTGCCTTGAACCGCACGCTACCTGGATGTGCTGGGCAATCACTGGACTTCCCTGTCTCTCACCACCTACCTGTAAAATGAATAATGTGGTGTAATGTCAAACCTCACCCTTCTATCCCAAATGTGAAGTCTTTGCGTCAGGGATTTGAACATGCAAATCTGGATGACCGTGACCCCCTGCAAACAGACATGAGGTCTATACAAGGAAAGGGAATATAGAAAAACCACAAAGTCTTTTGCCTTTGTTACTATGTAGGTCTGGTCTCTATAGATGTATGACTGGTTTTGCAGGCTCAGGTTGTTCACGATAAGGGGCTAAACCCATTTATGTCCAGATTGCCAGCAAGAACAACGCAGGAGTGTAACTCCTCTGACACGAGGTAAACAATTGTTCCTTTTGCAGGAGAAACAGGTTTTGGCAGGCTGTAAACCAAAGGAGCACAGAACAGCCAGTGGAGTAGAGGCTTTGCTCTCCAGGGTGCACAGTTAAAATCTGTTCCCCTGAAAATGAACCTTAGTGTTACTATACCTTCAAACTGATAATCAGGTGCCATGTTCTTGCTGCCCCAGTGAGTTTTTCACTGACTTATGCACTGCTACTGCTAAGCTCATTCAGCCCCCTTCGGAGCGCATTGTATACAAACAGTTTTAATTCACTTTTCACACGTAATTAGGTGAGACATTGATCAAAGGTCACCTTGTGTGGGCCTATGATCTTGAGCCTTTCTTTTAATTTTAGAAGCACCAAATAGACCCAATTCCAGATGAAGCTGGAAACTGTCTGGGGCACAATTCAGAGGTACCCGCGTTCATCAGCTGCTTCACTGGCACAGCCTGAACCAGGAGGCTTTTTCTTTCTCAGGGCTGATTACGGTACAGCTTCTTCGGGGTGTAACACGATGAGATCAAGAAGGGAATATAAATTAATATTTCTAAGATTGCATTTATGGGTTATTCTTTCTGAAGGAGGTGGGGTGGGTTTTTGGTTTTTTTTTTTGGCCTTATTTTGAATCAGGCAAATTCTAGTTGCATCGCCAGGTTTATTCAGCATTCAATAAATGATGAAGTTTTTTCTTCCTCAGGTTTAAGGTAAAGGCAACATATTTCTTAGGTGAAGCGTTTGCACTGTGTCCTGTCGTCCTATAGGAGGCAAAAAGGCCTAAAAACCCTGCATTGTGGTGGGTAAATGGTGATGGAGAAGAAGTGAGGTGGAGCTTTGAAGAACTGGGAGTCCTGTCCAGGAAAGTGGCTAATGTACTGTCTGATGCCTGTGGTCTGCAACAGGGAGACAGAGTTATTCTGATTCTGCCCAGGATCCCAGAGTGGTGGCTGGTGAATGTGGCATGCATGCGAACAGGTTAGTAAAAACATAGAAATGATTTATGGATACAGATATTGTCACATAAATCAGTCATTGCTATTTAATATACTCAGAACTGCAGACATGCTAATGGGGGTGAAAATCACTGCCATGCCACTGCCATGGTCAAGAACACCCTTCATGCTAAGTTTTGTCTTCATGGTACTTTTAGGATTTTTTGAGCGTGCTGTAGCTGTTAAGGAAACTCTGTGAGTTCGTGCATCTCTGCCGTTCTCCTCTTTCCAGCGCTTGTGATGCATTGCAAATGCACCCTCTTATTAACTTGCAATGAAATTAGCCCATGCTTACCCAAGTGTTTCACATGTTCCCCTGTGGGCTATGTTAAATACTCGACTTCCCAGTATTTACAGCCCAGAATGTCTCAGTGCCTCACAAACACTAGCAGCATACTGTTTGAGGAGGGGTACATCTGTGTTTACTAGTGAAAAATACAAGTCCAGAGAGATGGCATGTCCAAATGGAAATGCTTTCAGCCCAGAGAAAGTCCTTCTATTGGTTTCTTTTACTGTCTCATGTTCAGCCTAGTATTTTCTAACTTATATTGATCCTCACATAGAATTTAATCCATGAAAAAGAACAGTATATTTACAAACGTAGAGCCAAACCCTGCTTTTAGCACCGCCCTGTCCCACTAATAAGCACAAGGTAAGCCGAAGACTGTTTATAGGTAGAAGTATTGTTCTTAAATATTGAGAGTATTGTCCTTTAGGAACTGTCCTGATTCCTGGTACGCAGCAGTTGACAGCAAAGGACATTCTCCATCGACTACAGAAATCAAAGGCAAAATGCATCATCACTGATGATTCTGTGGCACCAGCTGTAGAGTCAGTTGGGCCTGAATGCCAGTCTCTGAAATTCAAGCTGCTTGTGTCAGAGGGCCACAGAGAAGGATGGCTGAACTTTAAAGAGCTCCTGAAGTGAGTAACCGCTACTGTGAAAGTGCCACAGAAACACTGTAAGACGAGCACAGTGATTTGTTGTGAGCAGGAGATGTTGGCATGTGCCAAAATATTTTCATCCCTTTAGGACTGCAGAGCAGAAAAATGTCAATGTTTATGACACTTCTGATTGCTGCAGAAGTTATTTTAGCCAAATATTTTCAAGAATGTGTAATGCACCCTTTCAAATCACTTTATTCATCACTTTACATATTTTAAAGACGTGCTCCTTCTGATCACCACTGCGTGTCCACAAAGCATCAGGATCCAATGGCTATCTATTTTACCAGTGGAACTACAGGGTCTCCAAAAATGACTGAACATTCACACGGCAGCTATGGCATTGGCCTCACAGTAAATGGAAGGTATGGATATCACTTGGAATCATACATGCGTTTCTGTAGCTTGTCAAACAGCAGAAAGAAGGGGTTTCCCCTTCTAAGATGTTACCAGAAGCTCTTTGTTTCACTAGTTTAAAAAAAAACAGCTCTATTAAATCCCAAGCTCTTTTCTGTGCAACAAGGCATAGTTTGAGGTTAGCTGCCTTAGTGTATATCGAACTCTTGAAACAGAGTTACTAACCTCTTTTTAACATTTTCTTTTAACTTTTTCTAAACTCTTCTTTGTGTATAATTAATAGGTTGCCCCTTTACTGAACAGCAGCAAAGAACAAGTTTATGAAGTGTGTACCATAAAAAGGGGGAAAAAACATGGGTCTTAGGCTTCTGAATTAATGTGCGTTAGGTTTAGACACAACTCCCACAGGAACAAAACGCTGATAGTTCAGAACATAGGAAAGACTACATAGATTCAGTTTATAAAACTATGTTGTGTAGAAAACTGATGTAGCAAGTCAGAAGAGACCAAACTAAAAATTAAGTAAACCAAACTAAATCCTTATCCCTAAAAGCTGACTTCAACAAAACCCCCGCAATCTCATACATATTATTTCAACATCCTGTTTTGAGGTGGTATCAGCTTGTCCATTAGTATAATTTTTCTCTCAGAAAAACGCAACATCAGTCTCTCCTGATGACATCCTCACTGCACTGTGTCCCACTCCTGCTCAGAAATGCAGTCATTTGCTAATCGTCATATCGCCAAGAAAAACAGTGACGGGTTTGCTTCATTGGCACATCTGTTGTTGATATGTTAATATTTACCCTCTTTCTGCCAAATAGAGATTGTGCTCTTTCACTGTGTTACCCAGGTACTGGCTGGATTTGACTTCCTCAGATGTACTTTGGAATACATCAGATACGGGCTGGGCAAAGTCAGGTTGGAGCAGCATTTTTTCCCCATGGATTCAAGGGGCATGTGTATTTGCACATAAGATGCCACGCTTCAACCCAAGCATTGTCTTTGAGGTACGCAAGGGCAGCCCAGCAACAGCTTCTCTCTGGCTGGCCTTCCCTGGATTTTCACTTCCCCTAGAGCTGTGTAGAGGGCAGTAGGCTGCTTAATTGTAACCTTCACCATGAAGTAACCAACCAGTATTTCAGTAGTGAGGGTTATAAGTATAAGCCCCAAAACAAGAGCATCTTTAGCATCCTATAAGTTTCATTCTCTACTCTGCTGAAAACATATTTGACTGCCCAGACCTGCAAACATTCATTACTAGGCCTAAAAGTGAAGCATACAAGAAATGGGACAGGAATTTGTGAAGCACTTTGGTGTTATTAAAATGAGTGACAACAGCAGATAATTGAGAATTTTGCTTGCATGTACTATATAACTCAACATTAGGGAGTAAAGAGGCAACAAGGCTGAATTTCTTTAACAAGTGGTACCAGTGTTATATTCTGTTACATCCTCTGCACGCAACTCTGTGAAAAAGATCACCATTATTCATTTTACACGGAATCACTTTATGATCATACGCATGCTACTTTGATGGCTGAATATTGTTAGCTAAAATTAGGATACATTGAAGAGCACTTTATCGGTTTTACACCTATGGAACATCTAAAAAAGTAGTCTTATGGTTTTCTTTTTTTTCTACTTAAGTTGGAATTACAAAGAAATTCTGCAAGGGAGACTGCAAAGCTTTCCAGAGCACAAAGCTTTGGTGTGTTGAGCTATCTGTAACGTGGTGTAGATTCTGTTTTGAAGAAGAACCTATTTAAATGTAACTGCTGTATATTGGTATTAGTGAGTACAAAGCTAACTGCTTTTAGGACACTAACATTTTGTTCGTGTGTTTCGTAAGCTGAATACAGAGATTTGGCATCTACTTTTTTTATTCTAAATGCTCTAGAGTCTGTCAAGATTTCCCATAACTGTCTTCTGTTCTGCTCCAACTGCCTATCGAATGTTTGTGCAACATAAAGTGTCCAGGTATGCAAAAGCAAAGTATCCTTATTGGTGTATTTGATCAAAATAGTGGAACAAATGCTCTCCTCACCGTGGCTCTACTTCAAATTTACAATGGCATAACAGCAAATCTAGTCACGTATTTCTCAACATCTTGAATCTTGCATATTAGGACGAAAGCCACAGTAAAAATTTTATGGACAGTGTAACCATCACAGATTTCACAAATTACAGCAAACTTGCGTGAGACTTTGAAAAGCAGTTTAGCTGATGATATAATAGGATAATAATGATACAGTATCATGATTAACATATTTTATGAAGTGTTTTAAGAGTTAGATTCTCCCTCCCTTTGTTTTTCCCCTGCATTCCCCCAGTACCATGATCTACAAGAACAGTGTGTGTCACTGCAGCTTGGCAACTCTCCTGTGACGTTTTGTGGTCATTTTGTTTGTGACCCCCCAGGTTAGAGTCTAGGGTTAGAAGCACTGTATCAATTATTACATTTTAAAATAATGCAGAAGTAAAAGAGCAGGTTTTTTTCTTTTGTATTTGCATTTTTGCAAATTTGTTTATGTTTAACTCCACACGGTTGAAATGGAATGTATAGGACGCAGTGAAGGTTTTGTTTTCCTATAGAAAGGACCCCCATGATACAAGAATACAATAACAAAGGGGACATAGCAGATAGATCACTGTGTCTGCTTAACTCTGCCGATTATTTGCTTTCTCCTTCCCACCAAGCTATAAATTCAGAAGCCTGCGGCACTGTGTGAGTGCTGGGGAGCCAATCAACCCTGAAGTGATGGGAGAATGGAAAGAGCAGACTGGGCTGGATATCCATGAAGGCTATGGACAAACAGAAACAGTATGTCCAGACACTTTACAGATACAGCAATGAATTCCATTAGGGTTGCCAAGCAAATGTGATTAAAATAATTATACACAGTCATGACTTTTAGGGGAAAAGTCAATTATAGTAAGCAACAGTGGAAAAATGTAGCTGTTATAAGTCATAGAATAATCATAACAGTTTCACCCAAAAATCCAAGGACTGCTTTTCATTCCGGAGGGCTTTTGGACTGGGAACTAACACAGAAGAAGTACCTTCTCATTGCTGCATGCCAAATTCTGCTTTAAAACAGCACTTGTTAGCATTACTAGCTTTGGGCATGATTCTTAGATAGAGGTTTATTCCTGGAGAGGTTCTAGGAAGAACAGTTTTCTAGGTCAGCAAGCATAGAACCATTCTTAAACTCGACCTAGAACCTGTCTAGGTCAGCATGTCTAGAACCATTCTAGGTTGGGGCTCCCTGGAAAGGTTTCCATCAGGGAATTCTTAGAATGGTTCTAGATCTGGGAATGCTTAGATTCTAGATCAGAGCATTCCGGGGGGGGGGGGGGTTCCTAGGTCAGTGCACCCAGAACCATTCTAGGTATGCAAGTCTAGAACCATTCTAGAATTGACCTAGAAGCACTCTGTGTTGGTGAGTCTGGGGCAGTTCTAGGTCGGTGTGTCTAGAATTGTTCTACCTCAGAGGTTCTCTGGAAAGGTTCCAGGTTGGGGGGGGGTCCCAGGAGGAAGGTTTCTACAGTGGCAAAATTCCTGGAAAAGGTTCTAGGTCTGGGAATTCCTAGACAGATAGTAGATCAGGGGATTCCTGGAAATGTTCTAGGTCAGAGAGTCTAGAACTGTTCTCAGTGGGGGCTCCCTGGAAAGGTCCTACAGTGGCAGAATTTCTAGAAAAGGTTCTAGGTTTGGAAGTTCCTGGGCAGGTTCTAGATTGGGGGATTCAATAAATGACAACCATTTCGTTCTAGAAGTAATCATTGGATATGAGATTATAATGAAGACTTACTTAATTAGTATTTTTCATAGAGCTCATATTCTACCTTTATTTGCAATATTAGCTGAGCGTTTTAAACTTAAGCTGAAGCCTGAATATACAAATCATAGTTGTTTAATTAAAAAAAAAAAAAAACCCACACACACCTGTTACAGGTGCTGATCTGTGGAAACTTTAAGGGAATGAAAATTAAGCCTGGCTCTATGGGAAAGCCGTCTCCAGGATATGAAGTCAAGGTATCGTACCTCTGGTGGCACTATGGATGGGAAATGTTCTCTCTCTGTTGCGCTATCTTCACATAACCATCAGGTTTGAAAGCTCTAATGCCGTTGTACCACGTACCATCATTTAACAGTGAATGAAAGAGTCTGAAAAAAAATACATGTGCTACTGCCCTGAACTGAGTATGCAAAATAAGCAATTGAACTACTCTGTTAAACCCTCCTCACAGGATTACATAGATGACGGCCTTCTGCTGACAATTAGATACCAAACCTTTAAACAATGACTGGAATTAAATTGCTTAGTTAAGGGAGAGCAGGACTGAATATAGTTTCATGGTAAGACTAGAACTGCTGAGGCAGATTCTAGCACCAGATCAATTTGTAATATTGGTAGGATTTTAGTATCTTTCTGTTCTTAAATTTTCCCACTACATTACATTACTTATCTTCCTCTTGGGGTGGGGGGGGGGAGTGTCTTACTAGCGTAATTTCCTGTTTGCATAGTGCAAAGAGAAAAGACATGATGCAAAGTACACTGGATTACTAATATTCTTCACTAAATCATTTTGTAATGAAGAAAAATATTTCAGTTAAGTATTCTACATGAGCACCAAGAGTCTATAACCTTCATTTAATGTTATGTGATTTGGTTCCAAGATAATAAAATGGTATTTTGTTTGTTTTTAGATTATAGACGAAAACAGTAATATTCTGCCTCCTGGAAAAGAAGGAGATATTGCCATCAGAGTAAAACCTACGAGACCGTTTTGTCTTTTCACTTGTTACACTGTAAGGACATTTCTACAGTTAAATTATATGCCCTGTTAAATATCTCTCATGAGGAATCTGATGACCCATTTCATTCACAAATACTCTGCTTACTGGCTTGAAAAAACCTTTGGGGAGGAGACAGGGGTTTTCATTTCTTCCTACAAACGATGTTCTACTTACACAGAGACTATCCTACCTGGCAAGTCAAGGTCCACTGTCTTTCGATAGTTATTTCTTTTATATAAAGTGAAAGGCTTGAAGGGCCCCTTGCTCCCCCCCCCCCCCAAATTCAAATCCACTCCCCCA